GTTAGTCATCAAGTATCAGATCGAACACCTAAATCAGTTAGATTCGTTTTTTTTTAACCTCGACCGGATCGAGGGCAGAGGACAACTGGTGCTTGCTTCGACCATTGGGGAGGTCGAGTTGGTGCCGCAGCGGCGTAAGTCGGAGCAGTAGAGGGGATTTGGGGGCACTGGCCCTCCGGCGCCACTAAAAGGTAGTTCGCTTGACTCTCTGGACGTGCCGCTCTGCCTGAACTCCTTCCGATCCGCGGTGCCCGCCGTGAGCGCGCACGACGCCATGCACAGGAGGAAGATTGCCGCCGTGGAGGGGTGGACGATGAGGTGCTGGAGGCGTGGGAGATGGAGGTGGGAGAAAGATGTGGTCCGCGAAAACGAACGGGTTTTGGTGGTGCGTGAGAGGGCGTGGAAGGGGAAAAAGGCGCGGCAGCAATGTTTTGGCGGCGGAGGAGATTTGGAAGGGCGCGAGCGACGTGATTGGGAGAAGGAACGCACGGGGCTGCTGTTTTGCGAGAAGCGCGCGATCCAAAACGGCAGACTGCACACAATGTGCCATAAACCTTTTTACTTGAAAATTTAATATAGTGGCTTTAACGTAGCCATGATTCTATATATAATTGTCTAGTTTTTATTAAGTTACTCAATAGTAGTATTTTAATTTTAATAATAACTGAATATTATCCGTAATTTAGCAGGAAAACGAAATTGATGTTTGTACTCGTATTTATATTTCGTGGTTGTTTAAAGATCTTTTTTACAACATGTGTACTTCAATTTCAACTAATCTCAATAGATCGCTAGAATACACATAGCCTCTGTTTGGTTCTTAAAAAATTGAAAAACAATCTAATAATAAAATGAGAAACACTTTCTAAAATTTTGTTTTAATTTATGGGATTCAAACATGCCCTTAAATTCCAGAAACATTTATTTATGTAAATAAGCATATGCAATCGAGGCAAATGTGGTAAAAGTATGTAGTGCAAACCACCTGCCAGGTGAAACACATAAAAACCATTAAAAGGCATAACACTTTATCGAGTTCTATGGGGTCGAGTAAGTTGTATTGGTAATTTGGTGTATTGAAATATCTTGGTACCACAGATAGCATAAAATTCTGTAAGTAAAAAAAAACGCAAAAATATATAAAAAGTCTAGAAAATGCATTATTGAATGCAAACATAACTAATCGTTTTACATAAACAACCGTATAAAATAATGGTTAAATTGTGTTTTTCAAGTAAGTTGTATTGGTAATTTGGCGTATTTCATGTTAATTCACCAAAGTTACTTCTTTCCTAAATCAATAAAGTTACTTGAGTAATTTTATTATGGTTGGAGAAATGAAGACGGTTGGTGAGGAGTGATCGAGTGGCTAGAGGTGGACCAGTTTGATCTCCAGTCTGGTCCTAATAACTCTAATTAGAAGGATAATGATTGGAGAAGTATATAGTCTCTATTCTTCCTTCCGACCACACCCATTTCGACCACTCTCTCTTCTTCCTTCCGCCCCACCCTAGCTACTCTGCTCCCTGCCCCCCCCCTCCCGCTCATGGCGCCGCTCAAATCCGACGACACCTGTGTGGACTAATCTTATTTTCCAACACTGAAATTTGAGTGGACTAGTGTTAATTCTAATCGAAGAATTGCTGTTGGGTTGGCCTTCATGGGTGGCTTCTCCCGGCGTATCCATGTGTGCTTGTGTGCTGTCGAGAACAGCCGAGAATTTCTCTAGGGTGCCCACAATCCTATAAATGTCTTTTAAACTTCTACTTAATCAAACATCTTTGTATAGCCTAGTAGTAATTCTTCCAACTACAACCCTTGAGGGCCTAGGTTCAACCGTAGCCTTATGCAATTTTTCTGAATCGCCATACCAATTAACTTGGTGAATAATTTTAAAACATTTGTACATTTATTATGTTATTTATGTCTGACATATTATCGGAATGAGCTTGTAGTGTACGTGACATTTGTATTTATGGTCTAATAATGGATATAATATATTGGGTTGATGTGGTTAGTTGCCCACATAGGTGATATTGCCTCTCTAGCCAACTCTATCATCTCCACCAATTTTCTAGGTGCACCTTGGTAACTTGATTACATACACATGTTTATACCATCCTTGGAAAAGTATCATAAAGAAAAATTTGAACATTTTCTTATAAAATCATATTAACATCTACTTTCTCTGTTACAAATTATGTCATTTTGATTTTCTTTGTATTCATGGCTTCTGTTATGCACTTAAATATACACTTTGTCTAGATGCACAATAAAAGCAATGTATCTATAAAAGCCAAAATGTCTTATATTTTACGGGGGAGTAGAACTTTAGATAAATACATTTTGAAACTTTTCCTAAAAAGTGCTAATAATGACATATGTTTCACATGAGCTCATATCTTTAAATATGTGAAAAAGTCAAAACAAGAGTGTACTAATTTTTTATGTAAAAAGGTAATGTTGCCTATCATTCACCTTGAAACCTACTAGTGGGTAGGAAAGAAAGGAAAGTGTGTTTTCAAATAAAGCATATATATTTTAAAAATACTAAAACCCTAAACTTATTAGAAAAGTAGCTTTTCACCTTGTAATATGTGGATGAAATTTCAGAAATAATCTAATGGTACTTATTTGATGTCACAAATGTTGGTATCTTTTTTTCTATAGACTGGGTTAAATTTAAATTTATAATACTGGTTCTATAAAACTCTTTTCTTAAATATTAACGTATGGGGGTATAATAATATATTATAAAAATACTATAGTAACCTTTTAGCAACAAACTCATTTTAAAAACATTGAAACCCTTTTTTTACCATGTAACTGTATTTTATTTGTGAGTCCGTGAGGGAACCAAAAATAATTTTAACAGGCGGTCAGGCGCCAAGATTTGGGCAAGGTCTTGTTTAGATAGCCTCAAAATTCTAAGTTTTTTCACTCTCTCTCCATCACATCAATTTTTAGCCGTTTGTATAGAGCATTAAATGTAGGTAAAAAAAATAACTAATTGCACAATTTAGTTAGAAATCACGAGATAAATCTTTTGAGCTTAGTTGATCCACGATTGGACAATATTTACCAAATAAGACGAAAGTGCTACTATTCATCAGTTTGAAATTTTTTTCAATCTAAACAAGGCCCAAGCCACTTCGATGAACCCGCCACGTACACATATTTTCAAGTTAGAATGACATTTCTGTCCAACATATCAAGTACACTTGACGCTGCATCGAGGGTAAATCTGTAAACTCGGCGATGCATTGTGTACGTCCCCTCGGTCCCCGAATCCTAATCGATTCCCCTGGAGCGTTCCCATCTGTCGCCGACCCCCACAGCCACAGCCCACTCCACCCTTCGCAGATCGCAGCAGCCGCCGCCGCCGCACAGGTTGTTCGCAGCAACTGCCGCCGCCGACTCGCAACTGGCGCCGCTGCCTCGCGATTGCAGGCGCCGACGATGCCCACTCCGCCGGTCTTCCCCGCCGATGAGCCGTCGTGGCCGCCCCTTCGCAGGTGCCGACGCTGCCCACTCCACCCGTCTTCCCCGCCGACGAACCCACTACACCTTCCTCCTCGCTCTCCCACTCGTACGATGCCCTCGGCTGCGGACCAGATCAACACCATGCCTCCTAGTCGGTAGGTAGGAGCAAGCACACGGCAACCAGCACGTAAATTCGTGTCAAGTGCTCGTGTGTGGTGATATCCTTGCGATTTTTGCCTTTCTAGTATCCTGTCCTGCCTTTTACCACCATATTCTGCCTAGCGTAGCGCGCAGTTAGGGTTCTGGTAGTTGATTAGTGAGGCCTGAAAGGGTTAACCTGTACTTGAAATGAATGGGTCCTAGTTCTTGAAATTTATTCGGGCTTTGGTGCTGCTCCACTCTTTAGATTTTTAATGATCTGATTAGGGTCTGGTTGGGTCCTCAGGCGACACATTTCATTGTTCGCATCCTGCAGTCTACAGTAAATTCGAGGTACATATGTGGGCTGTGATGTGGCTAGTGTTGTTGATATGTGCTCTTGTGATTTTCCATGTTGAGGTCGAACAGAAAGGATATGATTTTTTCAGAATTGATATTGTCTTGTCTATTAAATTTGGCTGAGGCACTGAGAATTGTGATCCGCTTAAATTCTAGTGACTTTGAAACATGTCCAGTCCATGCTAGCCTGTTAGTTTTTTGTTGCAATACAAGAGTCTGTTGTCCTTGCTTTCTGCTGCCTGACCTCAAACATCAAAGTCCATGGTTAATTTCTTTTATGCATATACAGAGTTGCCAACTAGTGAATATGTAATAGTGAGGGCTCAAACAATGTTGGGAAGAATGATAAGGAACAATCATGTTTTGTTGCAGTTTATGTCTCTGAAACAGATGCGTGATGGAGTTCTGTATGCAGCTTTGCAGTGTCTGGGAGTAGTTCTGTTTTAGTCTAAATCTGATGTTTGTCTGGTGTAATGTCCTTGGTGGAGACCCCTGTTGATGTGCGGGGTTGTTTTGGTCTGACACTTTATAGCCCAACTTCTAGGAGTTTTTGGTAGTTTGATCCAGGCATCTGTTCCCTTTGTGACCATTTGCTTGGATCAGTTTATATTCTGGCATTCGTCATTACTTTCATTGCGTATGAAACTGTGAACTCGATGTAATTTCGTTGCTTTGGTAATGAAATTTGGTTTTACCGTTGTGGAAAAAAATGTCTCTGAAATAGATGTGAGGAGTAAGGACTAGTTCACTGCTAAAAGTAATTATTAGTCTCGAAATTTCTGCTCTTTGTATATGTTGAAATCAATAAACTCTGCAGCTTAAGTGGCCAGCTGTAAATGTAAATTGAATGACGCCAACTTTATCCTTGTTAACTGTTCTGCTAGTTGACACAGTGCTGGTCTTTACTGCATTATTCTTTTATGTTTACAGTTCTATTTGAGGTTTTTCTTGTCCAAAATATATGTGAATGGTACCTGATTTTCGTTGCTTGGGTGATCAGTGGGTAGGAATTTGTCAGGATGGGAAGCAGATCGGAGAGCATGCTCTCAAGGACAAAGCGAGTTGATCCTCTTCAAGGACTGTGGAAGTATGAGGGAGCACTGGCAAGCACTACTGGGACTTGTAAGCTCTTTGCTTCTCTGAACTCTGAACATTTTTTTTCCTCTGAACTCTGTAAGCACTACTGGAGTCCTTGAACAATGTTAATTGGAATAGTGCAGTGTGAATGGGTAAGATTACAGTTTGTAGTAAGTAGTGAACCTGATTAATTGGAATAGTGCAGCTAGAATGGGTAGGTTATTGCCATATTCATTCCTGTGGCAATAAAACCAACAGTGTGTAGTGAATGATGTCCTTGTGCTTAGGCTGAATGCTCAAAAACATGAACCTGAATGCTCAAATGTGGTTTCCTCATTGTCAAGGACAGACCAAGGAACTGATAATACTGATCATATGTCCTTTAATCAATTTGATGTTGTCCAAGGTTTCTCTGATCAGCACTACGCAAATACTTCAGCAGGAAAGGTATGCTGTCATTTTGTGAACATTTTTTCCTAATATATTATATCCAACCACAATTTTCCCACCTCATTATGTGTGACCAGGTCACCAAAGATTGGGCGAAGGCAATCCAAAGAGAATGGAATCTTCTACAGAAAAACCTACCTAGTCAGTTTATGCTGATTGCATTTTTGTCAACTTTTTGTTTCCTGTTTTCACCAAACTGCCACAAATTGTAGTTACAGAGAATTCAAAGGAGACACCAAGGTGCCTACATAATCATAACTTTTAGAATTTTAATGAAACTTCTTTTCCATAGTAATCTTGTCATGCTAGCATATTACACATGTTCAGAACTAAGTATTTTATATTAGGCAACATTCAGAAATGTAAGAAATCTGGATTTGTGAAATCATGTACACTTATGCCACTCCTCACACATGTCATGTCTGTACGATTGATATTGAAGCAATAATCCGTATTCTTAATAGGAGAATTTACACCTGAAATCAGCTGATCTTTGTTGCTGTTAACTTGTAGCATTTTATTGAAACTTATTTTCCATAGTACTTTTGTTGCTGTCAACTTATAGCATTTCGAAAAGTTACAAGGCAGACTTGAAAACCAAGAGGCTGAGAGGGAAGCCGAAAGGGAAGAACATAGGTGTCAGATTCAAGAAATGAAGTTGGCAATGCAGAGGTGAATTTTTTGTAACTTCACTTCCTGTGTACTTTAGCTTATTTAATGCGAGCAACCAGAGCGAACATTTGAACCTGCAGATGGTAGCAGAATACATTGCCATTGTTGTAAGGAAAAAATTGATCATATAACCTTTTAATGGGTAATTTTACTTTGGATGAATTTGCAAACCTATTAGTCTTTAGTTTATGATTTCAAATTGCTTGCCTTCTAAATGGTTCAGTCCATGCTACTATTGCCAAAATAATACAATTTCAGTTTACTTGATGCATATACCAATGTTAATGATTCTTTTCAGGAGCAAGTTAGAGTTTGAGTGGAGTGCACAACCGATGGGATGGTCAATGTCAAGCCAACCTCCTTATAAAAAAAACAAAAGAAAACTTCAAGCCAACCTTTGCTACAGTGCTAGACATAGCTCATTACATTTTGATGTGTTAAAACTAGCTAGTGTGTGTTGGATACCTTATGGGTTTCAGCTGTGCACGTGTTATCGACTAAGTTTGACATTGGATGATTTCATTAATGATTTGTACGAACAAAGCATATTTTGGTTTAATGGATGGCTAAATGCTTCATTCATCATATATTGTTCGGTGTGCAATTATTGTTTGAAGCTACCAAACAAAGCGTTGCAATATGGACTATCGACATAATAATTTGGTGTTGCAATATATGCTATACCAACAAACTAACGGTGTGGCAAAAAACCTCGTACCAATGAAATAGTGGGCGTGGTAAAAAAGTCCAAATTTTAGCTGTGGCAATAGAGAGGCAATCTCTAGCATCCAAACATTTATCGTGGCAATAGAGAGTTATACCTATAGCAAACCCAATGTTTAGTGTGGCAATAGAGAGGCCAACTATAGCAACCAAATATTTGTCGTGGCAATAGATAGTTTCACCTATAGCAACCATAGAGATAGCGTGGCAATAGAGGATCCATCTATTGCAATGCTATTGATGTGTCGCAATAAGGTCTATTGCAACATCGATTGTCGTTGCCAGTGCACCTATTGCCACTCTTTGGGTGTGTTGCAATAGGTATCTTTGGCAACGCCGGGTGTGTTGCAATAGTTACGGTTACAACACCCACGGTGGTTGCTTGTACTATGGCTTGCAACACTCCATTATGTTGCAACAACATTCCATTGTGTTGCAATAGGGGAAAACTTATTGCAACACCAAAATGAACGGTGGTGCAAACTTTAGACCACGGTTACAGTGGCAACGCCTCCCAACCAATTTTTTGTGTTGCAGTTTTGTCTATTGCAACCATTTTTGACATATTGCAACACTTTTAGGCCGTTGCATTAGGGATAAATCCTTGTAGTGAATCAGAGCTTTTCTCTGATATGATTCGTTTAGATTAACCTTCTATTTCCATTTGCTGCCAAATTAACAAAGCTCCTTTCGATGCTCTTTATAATCGAGTTGTGGGTGCTAATATCATGTATGCATCTTTTGCTCATGATTTATTAAAACACATGCCATTAACCCCAACAACAAAGTTGTTGAAAAGCCTTTCAGGAGACATTCTCCCAAGTTTGGTTATACTTTATGTCCTCCCTATCCAGGTAAAAGGAATCATGGTTCATTTGAGCTTCTATATCTTTGATATCATAGAGTTCGACCTGTTGATAGGACAATCAATTGAAAGACTTATTCAGGAAGGACAAACGGGGAATTTGAAAATAAGCTTTGGTAAAAACTTTAAACTTTTTGTACCTATCACTCATTCTCTAAATGCTGAGTCTGAGCCAAGTCCCGAGCAAGACCCAATGGAAGAGGTTAAGGTCGCATCTCTTGATGACTTGATCGAACCCAACCTTGAAGATGACGCCCAGTTCTTCATCGAAGAGGTGGACAACAATCTTATGGAACCAGAACCCTTAGATGAATTGCTGGAACCACCTAAGCCTTCCATCAAACTTAAACTCCTGCCTTCTGGTCTTAGATATGCTTTTCTTAATAATGATTAGGATTCTCCTATGATCATAAGTGATAAACTTTCCTAGGAAGAGACCCTCCGCTTGATAACTGTCTTAGAAAAGCATCGCTCTACTTTTGGCTACTCGCTCCAAGATCTTAAGGGCATTAGCCCCGCTCTTTGCACCCATCGCATCCCTACATACCCTAATTCTATACCTTCTAGGGAGCCACAGCGTAGGCTTAACAATGCGATGAGAGAGGTTGTTAAGAAAGATGTTTTGAAACTCTTGCACGCTGGGATCATCTATCCCGTTCCATATAGTGAGTGGGTAAGCCCTGTTCAGGTTGTGCCTAAAAAGGGAGGCATGACTATTTTTTAAAATGAAAAGAATGAATTAATCCCCCAAAGAACCGTCACTGGATGCTGGATGTGCATTGATTACCGAAAACTTAGAAAGGCAACAAAGAAAGATCATTTTCCGTTGCCCTTCATTGATGAAATGTTGGAGCGACTAGCAAATCACTCTTTCTTCTATTTCCATGATGGGTATTTAGGTTATCAGCAAATACCGATCCATCCTGATGACCAAAGCAAAATCACCTTTACATGTCCATACGGAACCTATGCTTATCGTAGAATGTCTTTTGGACTATGTAATGCTCTAGTTTCTTTCCAAAGATGCATGATGTCTATATTTTCTAGTATGATTGACGAATCATGGAAGTTTTCATAGATGATTTTTCTATTTATGGAAAAACTTTTGATGATTGTCTTGAAAATTTAGACAAGGTTTTGCAAAGATGTGAAGAAACGCACTTAGTCCTTAATTGGGAAAATGTCATTTCATGGTTATAGAAGGCATAGTGCTTGGACACTTGGTGTCCGAACGAGGGATTGAGGTAGATATAGCTAAAATTGAAGTAATTAAACAATTACCTCCACCCATAAATATCAGAGGGATCCGTAGTTTTCTTGGTCATGCGGGGTTTTACCGCCGCTTCATAAAAGATTTTCCACATATTGCTAGACACTTATAAATCTTTTGGCCAAGGATGTTCCCTTTGAATTTGATGATGCATGGTTAAAATCTTTTGAAATTCTTAAGAAAGCACTCATCTCTACACCAATCATTCAACCCCCTGATTAGTCATTACCTTTTAAAATCATGTGTGATGCTAGTGATTATGCTGTGGGGGCAGTTTTGGGTCAAACAAAAGATAAGAAGCATCCTGCAATTGCTTATGCTAGCAAGACTCTAATAGGACATCAACTTAATTATGCAACAACTGAAAAAGAACTCCTGCTGTTGTTTTCGCTATTGACAAGTTTAGATCTTACTTAGTAGGAGCTAAGATGATTGTTTATACTGATCATGCTTCTTTAAAATACCTGCTCACTAAGAAAGATGCTAAACCTAGACAAATAAGATGTATTTTGCTACTCCAAGAATTTGATTTAGAAATAAAAGATAAAAAAAGGAGTAGAAAATTATGTTGTCGATCATTTGTCCAGAATGCAATTTGAAAATCCACAGGAATTACCCATCAATGATTCTCTACGGGATGACATGCTCTTCAAGATCACGAAATCCGACCCCTGGTACACAAATATTGCCAATTTCATGGTTGCAGGTTATGTACCACCAGGGGAGAACAAAAGGAAGCTTATTTATGAAAGTCGTCTCCACATATAAGATGAGTCGTACCTCTTTAGAGTCTGCTCTGATGGCCTACTTAGGAGGTGTGTACCGGCAGAAGAAGGCCTCAAAATCATCGAGCGATGACACTCATCACCATATGGAGGGCATTATGGTGCATTCCGCACTCATTCAAAGATCTAGCAAAGTGGATTCTTTTGGCCAACCATGTATGAAGATAGGAAGGACTTCATCTGGAGGTGTGGTTTGTGTCAGAGGCACCAGATCATCAATTCAAGAGATGCCATGCCACTCACCACCAACCTCCAGATCGAGCTCTTCGACGTTTGGGGTATTGTCTACATGGGACCATTTCCAAAATCAAAGAATTATGAGTATATCTTGGTGGCAGTTGACTATGTCTCCAAGTGGGTTGAAGCTATGCCATGTAGAGCTGCTGATGCAAAGAACTCCAAGAAGATGTTCGAAGAAATAATATTTTCACGTTTCAGAGTTCCAAGAATGGTGATTAGTGATGGAGGCACTCACTTTATTGACAAGAACTTTCGCAAGTACTTGTCAAAACATGGGATCCGTCACAACATCGCTACTCCATATCACCCTCAGACAAGTGGCCAAGCAGAAACATCGAACAAATAAATCAAGAACATTTTGCAGAAGATGGTCAACGAGATGGGGACTGCATGGAAGGATAGACTACCCGATGCACTATGGGCTTACAGAACAGCCTATTAAACACCACTTGGGATGTCACCATACCAACTCATTTATGGGAAGACCTGTCATCTACCTGTTGAGCTAGAATTCAAGGCTCACTGGGCCATCAAACAATGGAACATGGACTTGGAAGCTGTAGGAACCAGGAGAAAGATGCAACTCTCTAAGCTTGATGAATGGCATGAAAAAGCATATCACAACGCCAAGATATACAAGGAGAGAACAAAAAGATGGCACAATAAGAGGATCAAGAAGGAGTTTGCTCCAGGAGATAAGGTATTACTTTTTAATTCTAGGGTGAAGTTATTCGGGCATGGAAAGCTTCAAAGCAAATGGGAAGGACCATTCAAAGTTATAAGCACTTCGTTGCATGGAGCGGTTACACTTCAAAATGATAAAGGTACGTTATTCAAGGAAAATGGTCACCATCTCAAGATCTTTCTAGAACCTAAAAAACCACCTGAGGATTTGGATGAGGTAGATTTTATTATTTTAGCATAGATTTACACCTCTGCCCTCCTCCTTACAATTCGTAACGCGACAGCATATTTTTTGGGATTAGTTAAGTGTTAGAAACCATCGTGCGAAAGATGACCGTGAGGTGGCACTAGGTGGGGCCGACCGGCCCCACTGTCATGCCGGTTGGCCCACTTGTCAGCCGCCTGCCTTCGCTCAATTAGCTTGTGAACCTTCTGGTGTTTTCTCGCAGAAATCTCTAGATTTCTGAGCCATTCGGTTTTCTCTCGTTATGAGGCTCCTAATGGATAGATCTTGACCCCTGCGGCCCTTATCTACCCCTATATAAACAAGCCCTTACTTGCCTCCAAAGCCATCCCAACAAGTTTCTCATCTCCAGCAGCAACAAAGCTTTCCTCCTCTTAAGTTCCAATGGCTGATAGAGAGATCGTCCCATTCGGAGTTGATCTCAACAAGAAGCCTGACGCTCTAGCGCTGGGCATCATTCTGCCATGAGAGATAGCTCCTATTCCCTCCAACTAGTCCTATTTTG